ACGGAACCTTCCACAACCTCCACAGTCACACAGGTGAGCCGAGCTTCTCCCTGGGAGAAGTTTGGCTTTGTAAAGCAAGGTTCCATGCTGAATTGCACACAATACACACATCCTTGATCCCAGTGAAAACGATTGACTGCAAGGGCACTGCAAGAATGCGAGAACAGCGCAAGCACCTCCACGTATTTTTGTTGGAACATGTTTGATGTTGCTATCGGTACAAGATGGTACAAGAACCAGCACATATCACATGAGATCATATGAGGGACAAAGAGCAATTCCCATAGAGCTCGCCTTTTTGCCTGGCATGCTTTCGTCTTGAGTTTTCAGAGTTTTAAAGGGCCATCTCAGACCCTAGAGAAATGGTATAGCAAGTGAGCTACAGTGACAAGTTCCACTCTTGCGCCATCCTGCCACACCGAGAGAGGTCCAGAATATCCTACCAGTTCTTCATAGTTTTTCTAAATGATTTGGCTTTTTGGCTTTTTGAGTGCAGGAACTGCCCCTTCTCCCCAGCAAACGTTTGGGCTCTGCTGCATGCAAAGGCAAAAGTACGGCATGTCACAACAAGCAACTCTCCATGCAGCTACTGTGCTTGTTCCACCATCTCTACGCCACTGCTTCGAAGTCCGAAATTCTCCAAGAGTTCAAGGAGATGTACTTGTCTTTTCAATATTTTCATGTCTTTTCTACTACCTTAGCACTTTCTAGAACTTTCTCAAACTGTCTACTGTAGTGACAGCGTTTCAACACTGGGCATCAGTTCGCCAAGAAAACCTTTGTCACTTTCAAAAACATCTGGTCTTGTCTATTTAGTCCTTCCCTGAACGAAAGATCAATCCATGCACTTCTTTGGCCAGTTGTATGCAGAAGCGAAGATCTAAAAAATGGGTCTTGGACGACCGCACAAGGGAAGATCATGAAGATCACAACAATTGTGAGCTTTGATGAGCTTGATATACACTGTCGAATATAGCCTTGTCAGTCTTAACAATTTCAAACCATTTCAAACCATAGCTGCCGTCACCAGCGGTTCCAATGGCCCGGCCCTTTCAGATTCAAAGCGAAAGGAACGATATTTCCAGAGGTATTGAACCTGGCTGTGCGTGATCAAAGAAATTTGTCAAACATCTTTGGACAGAAGAAATAACGTTTAACGCATTTTAACGCCAGGTTTGGGCATCAATGCCACGAATTCAGAGTGAATATACAACCGTGTTGAGATGGAGCTCAACGAAGTGATTACTTTTGATTGCTTTTGCAATCTGAGGCCAAGGTTAGTTCGTGCTTGAATGGCACTAATGTTTGATTGAAGACTTCCAGCGCTGAGTGCACGGTGTGAGATGCAGCACGAAAGCATTTCTCAAGTAGGAAAAATCCAAGTGGGAAACAAACAGGTTTGCGATGTCTTCTCTGATATGTCGTCAGGGATTCTTTGCGCATCATTGATCTCCATCTAGGGCGCAACAAGCAAGTCTTCAGTTCAGAACACATCATCATGGCACAAGGTACAAACGGATACATCCTTTCCTCAGGAATGTCCAACAAGAATCACTATAAACAAAAGAGGCCACAGTAATTACAATCTGGACAATGGTCAAGTCCGGCTAGACTTGATACAATTTGTATCAATTTGTTGCTTTTCTATTTGCAAGCCACCCTGGCTGTTGGTAACACCTGTTCGCTTTGCATGGAAAATGTAAATTCACGATTGTTCTGAACTGAGCAAGAGCCTAGAAACCACCATGTTCAAATATCAGAACCACTAACACATTGTATCACACAGAGAATCATTGTGCTGGTACAACCTAGCCTGTGAAGTTCATTAGAAAGTTGATGCCATCAATGTTTTTGATATATATATATATAGTGACGGACAATCACTTAGAACGTAAATTTTTTTCCATTTTTTTTTCGTACTTAGAACGTAGCAAAATTTCATCACTTAGAACGTAGGGAAAATTCATCACTTAGAACGTCAAAATATCACTTAGGCCCATTTATCACTTAGAACGTAAACCAACACTTAGAACGTGCTAAGTGATTGTCCGTCGCTATATAAACTATTTTTTCGATTTCAAAATCAATTAAATTTCCTTATATAGCGCAATTAAACATATTGCCAAAAATTGGATTTCGAAGCGGACCCTAATAATAAATTTAGACCCTTAATAAAGCGGCTATTTTTTTCGACTTCAAAATCAATTAAATTTCCTTATATAACGCAATTAAAATATTGCCAAAAATTGGATTTCGAAGCGAATCCTAATAATAAATTTAAACCCTTAATAAAAAGACTAGTTTTTTCGATTCAAAATCAATTAAATTTCCTTTTATAACGCAATAAGACTATTGCCAAACACTAGAGTTCGAAGCGGACCCTGATAAATTTAAACCCTTAATAAAACAAAACTATTTTTTTCGATTCAAAACCAATTAAATTTCCTTATATAGCGCAATTGAAATATTGCCACAAATTGGATTTCGATGCGGACCTAAATAATAAATTAAAACCCTTAATAAGAAAAACCGTTTTTTTCGATTTCAAAATCAGGTAAATTTCCTTATAACACAATTAAAATATTGCCAAAAATTGGATTTCGAAGCGGATCCTAATAATAAATTTAAACCCTTAATAAAAAGACTAGTTTTTTGCTTTCGAAATCAATTGAATTTCCTTTTATAACGCAATTAAAATATTGCAGAAAATTGGAATTCGAAGTGGAATCGAAATTATGTCTACTTACCTGGAAAGCCTGGTGCCCGAAGTTTTGGTCACTTTCCAAAGTGCCCGAAATTTTGGTCACTACGGTTTTGGGTTTTTTTAACACCTGTTTGCGTTATTCAGTTTTGGCTTAGATACTGCAATGGATGAATCAACACATATCAAAACAACAGAATTCCATCATACTCCATGAGAAAATCACCGCTCCCACCACAAAACAATCGTATGAGTTGAGATTTCAAATTCGACCCAGCCAAATGCCCTGACACCACCAGCTTTTCCATCTCCGTTGGGCTTTGCGATGCTGTTCGTGCTCAGCAGCTTGGCAAGGACACCGGCACCAGGGAACCAGGGCATTGAAATCATATCAATGTAGCCAAAGCTATTTGATAGCGGCTCAAAGTTCGCACATGGATTGTACGGATTGATACAGAACGGCTGTAAGTACATATGCGACCTACATAGTCTTCATCTTGCTGCGTGCTATACACTAAAGGGTTGGGGCTGGGCAAGTTCTGGCACTCCTGAACTTGCAGTTCGAAAACCAGCTCCCCAAACATATGCTGTTTGGGTTGCAGTTTGAATCTGGTCAAATCTGCCCAGTAGCAGTGGTCCGCACAAACCCTGAAAGCAGTGGTGAACTTGGTGCCAGAAACTATAAGAGTTCGTCTTTCTGAACGTGTAAGCCAGAAAGCGGCATGGTACAAAGTTGTCATGAACCTATTGGCTTCTCTTGTGGCTTTCAAACACGCCTGGAAAAAATTGTTGGTCTCTTCGTCCACACTGGCATCCAATAGTTTCTCAGGAAGAATCATCTCAAGAAATTTCAAGAGCGAAACTGTGTCAGCACCTTTGAACCAATTCCTGGGCAGTCCGCTGAATCACACAAAAAAAACATAAAATCGAAAACACATTTATAGCATGTCAAGAAAAATGTTTGAATTCTTGAGCAACCAAGAATCCCAATCGGGTACTCACTGGATTTTGTAAAACCAAGCAATTGTCGCGATAGGTGCATCATGTGCAGTTGCAATGAGTTCCGTGCGCAAAATTGTTTCAGCTCAGCAAATACGGTTGACAAATGCTCCTCAAAAGAGTTGCACCCGAAGATTCCGTAGTCATAGCAACATACCTGGGATGACTGGGCATCATGAGTTTTTATACTTTTTTGATTGCTTTTCCTAGTAAAAACGCGGTAATAAGATGATTAGCTGAGGCGCAATAATATTCGCTGCCAAATCTGCCATGACCCCTTTGTGACATGTATGGAAGACATCGATCCGAAAGAACTTCGCTTTGGACTGAGGGTCCATTGGAATATTCAAAGTCAAGTCAGATTCTTTGGTCCATGGAACTGGAACATCCTTGTGCATTGCCGCCATGTTCTCGTAAGTGGTATCATGCCAATCAGACCCATCAACCATACCTCCTCGGCACAGATGACAGATGCCTGCGCCTTTTTCTTTGCTTTTCGGGTTTCTTCCATGATGCCTGGATAACCGACCCAGCTTTGATAGGGCAGGCCAATCACCCTTAAGGGCCAGGGCAATGACATAGATGTGTTGCACCTTGCCATCAATCCTGACCCTGCACCCATGGTAAAACAAATCCCGGAGTTGCAGACTCAAGTGGCGCACCAATGCCAAAAGAGGTTTGTTCTTGTGTTTCTTTCCAGAGTACATGCGTCCAAGCATAACTGAGAATAAAAATCTTGTTTGCAAACTGTTGCCCACGAAGTTGAGCCCATGCGTCATAGAGTCAGCTTTGCGCTTTCGACTGCCTCTACCCAGAAGGGGTTGGGTTTGAAGCACCATTAAGGCTTTTTTTTAAACAGAAGTCCCTTCATCGGCATGAATAGCTACTGGAATACATCTTCCCAGGTGGTCATGGTGAACGTGAAAGATAGGATGGCCAGGTTCAAGTTGCCGCCAATAATTCCAGAACTCTTCATATTGTTGAGCCCGGTTGCCCATCAATAGAGTGTCCATTTTGTTGTCGGCATCCAATGTCTTGATGAAGTCGGAAACCGCTAAGATTGGGTGTGTTTCGGACAGGCCCACATCAACAAAACTCACTGGGATGTTGGTGCATAGCCCAAATTTGGGAAGGTGGCTGGACAAACGGTTCTCATGGTCTGTTCTGGCCAGCCTGGATGCTAATGCACAAAAGTTTCCACTTGGGACTATGGAATCGGGTTTCAGCAAGGGTTCGAACTCCTCCCAAAATGCCTGCACCAAATGGCAGGCTTCTTTTTCGGTAACCTCAGATGATGAGTCTAAAAACAATTCATAAGAACAATCTGTTTTAACATCGTAACATCAGATGTTGGTGGGGGTTGGACTTACAGCACCCCAAAAAAAGACAAAAAAAAATATAGAGGCATAAAATAGAGATATATCAGGACAAAGTATAACAAACCTTACACCAAAGGTCCCCCTTGGCGATCGCCCGTGCCACAGCTTTGCCTGCAGGACCCACGGGGCCGTGCGAAGATGCAACTGCTTGAGGAGTGGAACCTGCGCATGGGTAGCTAACGAACTGAGGGTATAGTGGGCAAAAATATTTTGGAGATCTTTGGGGTAACGTCAGCACAAAGGGCAATATTTTCCCCAAGTTTGAAGCTCTTCTGCAAGTTTCTTGAACTACAGCTCATGCTGCGAAGACTCAGCAAAGTCAAAAGAATATTTGTCCATAGGACACGGACAGGGCCCCCTGCAATTCAAATGTTCCAATGCGTATGGGAAAAGTTTTCAGATAAAATCTGGCATGCTTCACGCTGCTGGGGCTACCCTGCCAACCCGACAAAAGCGCGTGCAATCACACGCCAGCGACCCAAAGTACATATAGATTGGCGCCAAATCAGATTGGCTCCTTGAAGCCTCAGCCAAAGACATGATCTATTTCAAGATTCAATCTTAGCATGAAACATCTTGGGACCTGGCTTTGATCTTGCCAAGCTCAGGATCGAATATTCTCCATTGTCCTCACCAATAATTCCATGCAATCATTGATGCAGAGACAAATGTTGGCTGCCTCAAACTTTTTTTTTGTCTAGATATGGCAAACTTAGAGATACCTGGCCTCAAATCAGTTGGCTGCCTTCTTCTTCTTAATCTTAGGTTTCTTTGCCGGCTCGGATGGTTCTGCCACGGCAGCCTTACGTTTCTTGGCAGGAGCTTTGGCCCTGGGCCTTTTGCCGCTGCCGCTGGGCGCATTGGCACCAGGCTCATCCCCTTTCGGGGGCTTGGTGGGCTTCAAGATCGTCCTGAGAGATACCAACATGATCATGCACTTTTTGGGGGGTCAGACTATATTTTTTTTCCAATGTAATGTGTGGACTGAGCTTTCATTAATATACCAAGGGCTGGACTTCTTCAGCTTTGTATCTTCCATCAAAGCGCGGGATGTCCTGCAAGTAGGGAAGATGTAAATAAGAAACCACCTCCATGGACAAGCTGAATGTCTGGGGCATGCACTCCACTTCGATGCTTCGCAGCAGGGTCTGCAATTGGCTCACCTTCCTAAGTCCGTGGTAGATAAGATCAAAGACTGGGCCTGAACAGAAACTACCAATGAATGATTCGGTTGAATATGACAAGGTTCGCTTTCTCAAATGGTTCTTCCCCATCAGATGCCTTCATGTGCCCATCGAAATAAGACTTGAGATCGGCAAGCTCATCATGTCGCTTTTCAAGCTTGGAACGGTAGGCATCCACCTTCGGGAGGCACCTTAGTTCATCAACCAAAAAGATGGGTTCATCAACCAAAAAGATGGGATAGAATAATTGTTCTTCGGTTATAATATATATAATATACTGTAAAGTCTGTGGGTCTTGGTGGGAAATTGGATATATATATATAAAGTCAATCTCATGGGCGTCACTTTACATTCAAGGGACTGCTGGCTTTCAGAAGTGTTCAGGGCTGTCAGCTTCTCACGGAGGGTATCCAATCGGCTCTGAACTCGAAGCAAATTGTCAACAACGGTTTTGATGTTCTCAACTGCCTCAAGGTGGCTCCAAGAATCTAAGTGGGACTAGTAAAGAGGATCAGGCTTAAATACTCTATACACCAAACATCACATCGTGTCTTTGAAGAGTGCCTCAAAGACTGGCTCATTCTCAAGGTCATCCGGTTTGGGAACTTTCGAACGGACACTGGGAGCTTCATTTCCAGAAGTAGACTCGGCCTCAGACTCGTCACCTTGGTCCTCGATGCCATCTGGCGCAGCAGGGAGCCCAAGGTCAAAGCTGCTGGCAATCCCTTCAGTTGACGTTCGGTCAACCAAAGACTCTTCGTGTTCATTCTCGAATGTGCCCGTGGTGGCTGTGTCAACCCAGTACTCTTTGAGGTCCCGCTCATACTTGTCACGCCTATACTTCAGGGACATGTTCCAGGGAGGTTGCATGCAATTTTGTGACATCAATCGCTATCAAATATACAAATATTGAGCGCCAAAACCCAGTGCCTCACATGCGTTTTCACCCTTGACTTCACAGTGCAGTACCTGACCGCATCCTTGATTCGCTTCCTGAGTGCACAGGCTGACAGATAGGAAAGGGAGGGAGAAGGGGATCAACAGGACACAAAGCTGCAGCATGGGAGAAAACAGAACATGTTGAACAGTTGAACATAATATAATTCCAACAAGTTTCGCATTCCATCCCAAAACTTTGCGCATGTTTTCCTTTGTGTAAAAACCTTTCTCCACCTTGAGTGTGTTCTTTCGAGACTTCTTGCTAAGGTGTTCCACCTCCTTCTTGAAGACAGCCTCTTGCAAATCACCAACGTCACAAACACAAAAACCACTCAGAGAGGAATGGGATCAATGGCAACAGTCACACCAACAAAAGAAAGAAAAACTGACCGAAAGAATTGGGATTAACCTGCCTTGTCCCCTTTGGCTCTGACCAGAACCTGCAACAAGACCTTGCGCTGCTGGCCTCGGGCGCCCATTGTTTGTGAATCTCAGGGCTCACTTCCAACTTACCAGACAACGGTTTGGGACAGCAGAGACGACGAAGCTTCGCATCTAAGGCTGCCATCTTCTTGATCTCGTCAGTGGCCTGCATGGCCAAATATATCACTATATGGTGGAAATTTGATGGTTTGTCCTCTCCACACGCTGTTTGGTCAGAAACAAAAGAACCCAAAAGAATGTTGAGAACATGGCTGGGGTACACCAAGCCTTCTTGCGTTCGTCAACCGTAGTCTCATCAGCTGGTTCCTTCCAGACCAGGGCCCATCACTGGATACCCTAGATTTTGGTGGGAAGGGATTGGACAAATCCACTCACATACATATATATATATATATGTGTATATATATATATATTTATGTATATATATATAAATATATATATATGTAATTGTATGTGTTTACATATAGATACATAAAACACAATACCTGGAGGACCCCTTTCAAGGGAAATCTTATTATAAACACATACATACATACAATTATACAGTACAGTACATTACATTACAGTACATTACATTACATTGCATTACATTACATACATACATACATACATACATACACATACATACACTTAAATATGTATATATACAATTATATACATACAGATATGACTGATGTTTGTGGAGCCTCCTCATCATCCGTGTGCTCATCAAGGTCGCTTCGGGCAGCCACCTGCTCTTCGGGATCCTGGACATCCTGCACATGTTGCATGCATAGGCAAGGGGGGTGAACCAAGAGGAATGCTTACAAAACATCATCTAAAAGTAGACAAGGTTTCAAGTGTTTTTCAACGATATCAGTCCTTGTCAAACTTTGGACTTTTGTCTAGTGGTGTTGCCAATCTCTGGGGTGTATCAGCTGAAGCACATGCTGGAGACCCATGGCTTTGAACTGGGGAATGTGTCTTCCCACCAGCTGCAGGTGTCCCTGGGGCAGCTGAGCTCTCATTCTTCAACTTCTCCAGACGCGCCTTGGCAACCTTGGCAGTGGGTTGGACTGAATGGTTGTAAATTGGGGAATGGCCAAAAAAAGAAAAAAAAATATATATGGGCAGCTTAGGAACGGCAAGGATATCTCCGTACTCAAGTTTTTCCTTCTCCTTCTGGTCATTCAAGAAAGATAAGCCACGCATGAGTGAACCAGAGGACCATTGCTTGGAAAGGAATGGCCCCTTTTTGGGGAAACGTGCAGGGGATGATGACATGATCTACTGGATCTATATCCCTAAAATGACGCTTCTCCACCCTGTTGAACCAGCCACATTGCCAGAAACAAGAGTGAATGAACAATGATTGATAAATCACCGATCGACAAAATTTTCCTGAAGTTCAATTTTTCTGCAAATTTCCTTTTGTCATGCCACATGAGCCGTTCACCTGTGGCTGCACCTCAAAAAACACGTTCTATGGTCAACGTGCTGAAGTTGCCATTGCCACTGCCTCAGTGCATAATCGTAGATTTACGATCATTTACGAATTAAAAGCCGATTGGGCCAGAATTTTTGGCAATGCCCTGACCCATGAAAGTAGCCTATTTTAGGAGTAGGTTTCCTATGGTTTTTTACGGCACTAGTATGGGTATTTATGGCACTTTACATCATTTTGGTCACAGTGCCCATAATCAGGGTTTTTTCCAAAAACACCCATAAACGTAAATTCAAAACCCGTAAACGTATATTTTCCTGGGCCTACAGCAAAGCCTGCAATCGTAAAATGAATTGGTCAAACCCTATTTGACCTCACTGGGGAAAAGACACTTCCACTCCTCTGGAAGTTTCAAATGGGAATTCCCGTAGAGGTAGCGTAGCACCTCCTCCATCTGGGCATCGGCCCACAGGTCGGCGATGGCATTGTAGGGCATCTTCAATGCATCGAAAGGTTGGAGGAGCTCTGGAGCAGGAACCTGCAGTCAGTTGGAACATGCTTTTTCCCAGGGGACATATGAACAAATGAACTTGTATGAGTAAGAACATGCCATATTTCATTCCTTTGTATATATATAACCAGGGGTGACAAGTTTATTTGGAGCGAGGTGCATACTTTGGGTGCAGTGGAGGCCCCCTTTCCTTCTTAAGGTGCTTAACTGAAGCAGCAAATTGCCTTCCATATCCCATAGGATATTGCCTCAGATTGGCAAAATACTGAGGAGAAATCAAAAGAATCAAAAGAATCAAATCATTGCGACTTAAAATTGACTAAGTATAGGGCTGACTTGATTTGAGCTTGGCATTTCCCTTATACCTCTTCTGACCATGTCGGTCGAAATAGACATCTGCCAGTTTCTGCTTGGCACTGCGTGCTTTCATGCGGGCATACTTCTTGGCAGTGGCAAAATAGCGAATGCCAGAACTGTTGGACCATAAAGTTGTTCGTTTTGGTGATTTCCCTCCCCATCGAGACATCCAAAAGGATTGCCGGAACACCTCAAATTTCAACAAGTTGCCCAGGTGTCCAAAACCAATAAACATATATTACAGGTGTCCAAAACCAGTATAAACACATTTTGTTTATTATGCATCATGTTGTTCGATTCCAACAAAAATGTTCTATAAGTGCCATGGCACTCTCACATACCTGAGTATCATCTGGAATCTGGGGTGCCGAAACACCAAAGAGGAATGTGGTTGTTCCAGAACCCATGTTCCACCTTTGGCCATGATGAGGAGGATCGCCAAGCATGTCCTGCCAGAGCGCTTGGGCAGGCAAAGCAGCGGGGGTGGCAAGTGGCTATTCTAAGTGCAAAAAAGCAACACATAAGAAATCAACACAAGATTCGTTTTACATTTTTTTCGATTGAGATTTTGGTTTGTGATACTCACAAATCAACATTCACCCTTCCCATGACTTGTAAAGAAATAAGGAACTGCATGGGTCCTTGCTGTCAATAAATTTGATATCGCAACTGATGGGCTGTCGGGATCTCCAAGAGGTAAGAAATAATGTCGTCGTGTTGAACCACGTGAAATTGCTACCCATGTGGCGCATAGCAAAGCAATGGATACAACCAAATCGTCGTCCTTGCCTGACATCAATGTCACCAAAAGTAACCTGAGCAGATAAGGTTGTTACCAATTACTGGCATGTTGAACTTATGACAATCCTATATATATAATTATACATATATATATATACACATACAAGAACCACAGAGGAAAAACAGCAACATTATATAAGGGACGCAAATCCACTTGGCGTCGTTAAATCCAGAGGGTTGCCCTTGCACATGCGTTTGTTGGGCTGAAGCATTCGAGCTTGGATCCAAGGGTTCCAATCTACGATGTCCAGGCTGCATGTGGATAATCCAGATGCCCGGAGTGCACGGCTAAGAGTTCCAACGCCCGAAAACATCTCAATAGCTTCATACTCCTGAAAAAAGGGATTTCTGCAAAGTTAAATCACTCCTTTTTGGAAACAGGTTAGCTGTTTGAACCAATAATTGTTCCCGACTGCAATCCCTGCCAAGCCTGACCCCAATCAATGCCCTCAGTGAAAGACAATAAGATCACGGCAAAGATAAGCACCTGGGCCACAAGAATTCCAAATTAAGCTGATCAATCTTCAATAATAGATTCGTTTCTGAATTGTGCTACACACCATGTCAGGCGAGTTTCTTCTGGGACACCCCAATGAAGAAGGCGGTGCATCAAGCGCATCAGCGAGGCTCGTTCCATCACCGGCATCCCAGCTACAGTTGAGGCCAATTTTAGATGACCTCTATAGAATCCGAAAGGTTTGTGCAAGAGGCCAGCACTGAGAAAATGAAAGAAAATCGACATCATTCTGAAAGTTAGGACTACAACAATTCGATCATAATTTGTTTCACAATGTTTAGAAGATTTTTCGACACCCTCTTTCAAACGGGAACTGGCTGCAATGGAAGTGATGGGGGTCATGGCGAATTGCATGCTGTCACAATCTGGTGAATACTGTCCCACACTCACACCCAAGGGCAGCATACCCCACCCCAATGCACAGAGAGGGGGAAGCGCACCGACAGGTTGTGGAGGACGACGTTTGATCCTTGCACCATACATCTCCTGGCATGTCCAGGTGCGCTGGGCCGGTGAGACACCTTCCAGGGTTTGTATATATATATATATATTTATATATAATATATATATATATATCAACATGTAACACTTGGATTTGGACGTGTATACATATATATATATATATATCGATCTATATATCTGAAAGAGAGAAAGAGAGAGAGAGAGAGAGAGAGGAGATATTATCCATGCATGTGTTGCAACATGTAGTGCAAATCCTTTGAGGCAAAATCAAGTGCAGGCGAACTATATCTGTTTTTCCAATGTGCCTGCGAATGGTGCATCGCATGTCACGGAAACACGGCCTGCCTCCCTACTCAAAGGCCTTTTCAAATGACAGATTCTGCCAATAATGGCACCCAATCGGATTTTGCTAAAGCTTTCAGGGCAGTGACGCCAGCGCACATGAGAGAACACAGAATGAGATATATTGATGATTTCAATGCATTTAAAATCTTACAGGCTCACACCCCGCATGTGGCATGTTCAACTGCCAAACACCCCCAAAAGTTGGCAAGGGTATCCCTGCCAAAATGACATCCCGCTGGAAATGTCATGAACATCACTGCCATCAGCACAGGGAAGAAGCTGCCAAAGATCTCGGTGGGCAATACCTGGGCCAAGGAACGGATGCGGAGGGGAGGGGCTCAGCAGACTCCAACAAGTTTGGGTATTTTGGCATGTCTTTTATATTGTATTAAAGATTGTTGATCTTGCGTGATGTCTATAAAACATGCGGCTTAAAAAAAAGGCTGATTCAGATGAGTTTCCTGGATGCGTTCACCGTTTACTTTGACAACTTGGATCTTTTGACCATCTTTTTGCAAGACTTCGTGGGCTTGCGCTTCTTCTCAATCCCACCCGGACCCCCTGCCACAGCAGGCTCCACCTCATTACTGCCAGCACTGTTGCTGGCGGCCCCCTCCTCAGCACGGACTTGCGCTGCGTTCCGTCCACGAAACTTTGGGTTCTGACAAGTCTTGCAGCCACCGAAGATGAATCGGCAGGCCGCACACC